TGGGTCCGGTCATGGGGCCTGAACTCTGGGCCTGGGCACTGTCCCTCAGCTCTTCAGCTCAAGGCTAGCGCTCTACCACTTGAGCCACAGTGCCACTCCCGGCTTTTTTCTTTTTGCTTATGTGGTGCTGAGGAAACGAACCCAGGGCTTCGTGCATGCAAGGCAAGTGCTCTACCACTGAGCTACCTTCCCAGCCCCTATGGAATACTTTCCTAAGTCAATTTATTTTTTGCCAGTTTGGGGCTTGAATTCATGGTCTGGCATTGTCCCTGAGCTTCTTTTTTCTCAAAGCTAGCACTCTACCACTTGAGCCACAGCGCCATTTCCAGCTTTTTCTGTTTATGTGATACTGAGGAGTCGAACCCAGGTCTTCATTCATGCTAAGAAAACATTCTACCACTAAGACACATTCCTAGCCCTCTTTACATACCTAAAGGTACTTACTAAAACATGTGTTTTTATGATTCATAGCTATAATTTCCATGAGTTACATGATTAAATTTCCCAGCCTCCCAAGAGATTGGTGAGAAGTAGAAAACATATCAAAGGGCCAGGCACTGGTGGCTCCTGCCTGGAACCCTCCCTATTCAGGAAGCTGAGATCTGAAGGTTGTGGTTCAAAGCCAGACCAGGCAGGAAACTCCTTGCAACTCTTATCTCCAATTAACAACCAAAAAGCTGGAAGTGGAGCTGTGGCTGAAGCAGTAGAGCACTAGGCTTGAGCAAAAAAGCTCAAAGACAGCACCCAGGCCCTGAGTTCAAGCTCCAGGACACACACACAAGAAAATACAAGAAAGACTCTGTTGTTCTCTCATCTGTTAATCAAGCAGGTCAGTGACAGATCAGTGAACTTTGTGGCTGAAACTTTTTAGTAGAATTCAATACTTTTTCATCAATAATACGCTGTGTTGGGCTGGGAAGGTGGCTCAGTGGTAGTACGCTTGCCTTGCATGCATGAGGCCCTGGGTTCAATTCCTCAGCACCACATAAGCAAAAAGAAAAAAGCTAGAAGTGATGCTGTGGCTCAAGTGGTAGAGCGCTAGCCTTGAGCTGAAGAGCTGAGGAACAGTGCCCAGGCCCAGAGTTCAGGCCCCATGACCGGACCCAAAAAAAAATAAATAATAATACGCTGTGACCTGTTAATTGCATTTTGTGAATTTCCCCCTGGATTCTTCCTCCCCTTTTTCATCAAAGGATAAGAGGAATTTCCTTCGTGACCCACCAGCTGGTGTGCAGTTTAATTTTGAGTTTGATCAGATGTATCCAACTGCCTTGGTCATGCTGCAAGAGGATGAGCTGCTAAGCAAGATGAGATTTGCCCTCGTTCCTAAATTGTAAGTACTGTGTTCTCAGACTAGAGTGGTGGCTGCATGCTGACATGCTTGCTGTTCTGAATGGCCATGGTGATTATACCATGCATAATATTAGTAAGAATGATTGAGAGGGGCTGGGAAGGTGTCTCAGTGATAGAGTGCTTGCCTTGCATGCATAAGGCCCTGGGTTCAATTCCTCAGTACCACATAAACAGAAAAAGCCAGAAGTGGCACTGTGGCTTAAGTGGTAGAGCCCTAGCCTGAGCTAAAGAGCTGAGGGACAGGGCCCAGGCCCAGAGTTGAAGCCCCACAACTGAAAAATCAGAGACAGAGAGAGAGAGAGAGAGAGAGAGGGAGGGGGAGAGGGGGAGAGGAGGGATAGGGAGAGGGAGAATGGCCTCAAGAGTCTATTTGTTAAAAAAAAAAATAAGGCCAGAAACCCTGTAGCAGCTCCCACCTGTCAGGATGCCAGGGAATGCAAACCAAAGGCAGGATATTTGGGGTGGGATGAGAAATGCTCTTTTATCCTAGTTAGAAGGTAGAATGGGCTGGGAATGCGGCTCAGTGGTAGAGTGCTTGCCTAGCATGCATGAAGAAGTCCTGGTTTTGATTTCTCAGTACCACACAAACAGAAAAAGCCGGAAGTGGTGCTGTGGCTTAAGTGGTAGAGTGCTAGCCATGAGCAAAAGAAGCTTAAGGACAGTGCCCAGGCCCTGAGTTCAAGCCCCAGGACTACCAAAAGGAAAAAAAAAAAAGGTAGAATGGCTTTTCCTTCAGAAACAGTAAATGTACCCTATGAGTCTGGAAAATAGAATTCACATCTACAAAGCTCATCAGGACCTTTGCCTTTTCTCAAGCTGACCACATTCTGTATTCAGTAGCTGTGTTCTTGTTTTTCCTGTGGATTTTCCACCACCAAAGGTCCTTTCTTCCCCACTCTGAAAATCCCTACTGCTTAAAGCTCCAAAGCAAGCACGTATTGTGATGCTTTTCCATGGCCCTATCAGCAGAGGGCACCCTTCTCTTCTGCAGCTTCCCTTGGGCTTAGTATCCCCATGAACATGTGCGTGCCTGCGTGTGTGCATGTGTGCGTGTGTGTGTGTGTGTGTGTGTGTGTGTGTGTGTGTGTGTGTGTGTGTTTATGTGTGTGTCCTGGGGCTTGAGCTCAGCCTGGGCTCTGTCCCTAAGCTTCTTTTGCTCAAAGCTAGTACTCTAACACCTAAGCCACATGCCACTTCCTGCTTTTTCTGAGTAGTTTAGTGGATTTAAGAATCTCACAGAGGAGCAGGGTGCTGGTGGCTCACACCTGTAATCCTAGCTACTGAGGAGGCTGAGATCTGAGGATCACGGTTCAAAGCCAGCCC